TGTATTTTATTTTCTGATTTTTTTTGCCAATATGTAAGACAGAGCATTTATTTGTTGAGATTTGAAGTTGCCATTTGTTTGACCATTCTGATACATAGTCAAGACCTTTTTGAAGGGTAGCAGTATTGTCTGTGGTATTGAACAGCTTTACATCATCAGCAAAAAGAACGCAGTTGCTCTTAATATGATCACAGAGGTCATTTATGTAGAGTATGAAAAGAGTTGGTCCTAGAACACTGCCTTAGGGGACACCACTGTTGACAGGTACAGAATTTAATAGGACGCTCCCAATTTTGACCATTTTTTGTCTGTTTGATAGGAATGCTTCTATCCAGTTATGCAGGTGTCCAGAGATACCGTAAGATTTTAGTTTTAGGAGTAGTTTGTTGTGTACCACTGAATCAAAGGCTTTACAGAAGTCTATGTAGATTGCGTCTATTGTTTTGCCCTGATCGAATTGTGTAGTCCATACGTTTTTGCAGTGTAAGAGTTGCAGAATACAGGATAGTTTTTTTCTGAAACCAAATTGTTTATTAGAAAGTAGGTTGTCTCTAAGTGGAAGATGATGGATTGGTTAATAATTGATTCCATGACTTTACAGATGATGCAGCAAAAAGAGATTGGTCTGTAATTTTCAACTAGGCTGGGGTCTCCCTTTTTGAAAATGGGGATGACCATGGTTTGTGACCATAGTTTTGGCAAGGAGCTGGTCCTGAAAGATTTTTCAAAGATTATGCTTAGAGGTTCAGCTATGGATAGCTTTTTTAAGAAGTAGGCACATATTCCGTCCGGTCCATATTAATAACCTAATTACTGTTAATTAATGCAGCATTTCCAAATTAAAAGATGAATTACTGCTTACTTTTTGTTTGTCCTAGCATAATGCTTTAGATCTGCAGAATGCAGACAACAACAAGCTGAATAAGATTGTGCATTAATTTGTAGGAACTAGAAGTTTCACTGAAGTGACTCCATTGGGACCTGTGAGATTGAGAACACTCAATAATACTATGGCAACAACCAAGCTGAAACATATGAAGGAGTAAGTCATCTTATTTAAATGCTAACAGTAGACAAATATGTTGAAGTATTTACATTACTTTTGATTTGGTTTGCATAACAATGGAGCAAAACCCAAAATGATACTTAGTGAATAAGTCCCAGATTTCAATAAATTCATTAAATTAATCATTCCATTATTATAATTTAGAATGCATCATATTTTGAAGTTGAACCTTTTTCATTCTGAAAACGTAATGTTAGCTCTTGTTACTGGATGCAAATTCAATGATCACTTTGGAGAGCACCAAAGACCCCCCAAAGACCTGGAGGTATAAATACTCTCTTTAATAATCCTTTTCTAGATATTCATTTCTAATATTTGCTTATGTCTCTGCTATTCATGAAAGCAGCTTTCTCAGGCTTCTGTGTGATCCTGAAAAAAATGGTACCACTACTGCAAAAGTCACATTTACTTGAACGAGTTCATTCCTTAAATCAGTGGAATTATTTGATCAGAATCCCCCCCCCCCCCCCCAAAAAAAAAAAAAAAGCTGGACAGCTTTCACAAGGAGCAAAGAAGTGCTTGAATGTGCTGGATCCACATTTTTTCCTGAAGTTTGCAGAGTCCTACTTATAGTTTTTCCAGACCTGGCTTACAAAAGCCAGATTTGGCTATCCACAGACACTGATTTTAGATATATTAGGGGAGAAATTATGCAATTATATGACATCCAGCACATTTCCATTATTCATTTTATTGTTACATGACAAAGATCTCTGGGCCTTTTAAATTCTTCACTTGTAATTGTAGAAATGGTACAATAATATGGTAAGTATTCTAGAAATACAATAAATTTGAAATCTAGTAGTTTTCTAATTGATGATGAGATCTGTAAATGAAGTGAAAGTATACTTTGTTTTTCCAATTCTGTTAAATATTTGGAAGCAATCATTCCAAGAAAAAAATCTCTTATTAAGTCAATGTCAATATTTCAACTATATATATATATAAATGGGGATAGTGCTATTGGAAAATTATTGTAGATAATTTCCAGTTTAAATTGCACCTATCATGCTCCCAGTCAAACCTATATTAAGATTACAGCAAGCACCACATCACACAAGATAAACATCAAAAATATATATTGCCTCTATCCATATTTATATGCCAAAAACAACTTTTCAGAATCAAGCAGCAACTATAAGGAGCCGCGGTGGCGCAGTGGTTAGAATCAGTACTGCAGACTACTTCTGCAGACTGCCGGTTGTCAGAAGTTCTATTCTCACCAGGCTCAAGGTTGACTGAACCTTCCATCCTTCCGAGGTTGGTAAAATGATTGTTGAGGGCATTATAGATCACTTTAGAGAGGGCTGTAAAGCACTGTAAAGGAGTATATAAGTCTAAGTGCTATTGCAATAATTCCAGCATTCCAGCTTTATTCCATATGTAGCCCATAATTATGGAACATAGATATGGCAAATAGTCCAGATTACCTTTTTACCATTGAAGGAACATTATGATAGACCGTGATTTTTCTAATAATTCAGAGATAAATTAAAATACTTGAGTCTATGAGAAAGAACAAATTAAAAATTAATAAGATGTGTATATACACTGATAAAATTGGTTATGTTGATTTCACTCAAACATTAAAATATATTAATGCTTTATTTCTTATATAATGGTCAAACTTTAAGATTTTCTTTTTAAAGCTTCAGATTTCATATCATAATAAAGACTTTATTTCATATTTTCAAATTATACTTTTGGACCTATTCATTAATTTAGTAATTTATTGAATGAAAATGAATTGGATGTGCGCTAGACCCAAAAAGAGAATTATGATTTGATGCCATTGAAATCCTGGCAAGATTTGGTTCCCATTAGAATATAAACTAACATATATTTTCAATTTTTAAGGTGGTAAAATATGTTTGGACATTAATGGTAAGAAATTTTAATTTGAATATAGCTCTTATAAGCATTAGATTTTAAAAATGGTGTGATAAAACGTCTTTTGGAAAACATGGGTGAAAATGAAATAGTTATTCCTAATCAGATACTTAATAATGATTCTGAAAAACTTTTGAATGATTTGCTCAGGATTCAATTTAATTCTAAACATTGAGCTTCAATAATTTGCTTAAAATGTATTATTATTCAATGAGTTATAGAAAAATATGTTTATTTTTTGCTTTTTCCAGTATTTTTATTTATTTATTTTTAACCTTATATTAGCATGTGTTATTTAGCTTATAATTAGTTTGAACTGACTGAATTATGCTCACTTGTTTTGTACATTTTATTGTTAGATGTCATTTTAAATTAAAAAATTAAAAATACTATTTTAAAAGATTTAAGCAAAATATGAAAACATCATCTGGGTTTAAACATAAAAACACACAACCCAATTGGTAGAACTAACTTATTCTACTAGTTGAAAGAAAGATATAAATTTATCAGAATGACCTGCTTCACTAAGTCCTCCATAGATGACAGTCTTACAAATGGTCTTCTAATGTAAATGTAAAATGTATTTTAGCAAAGTTTATGTGACAAATTGTATCAATAAAAAAACTTGCAGATTTTCATTCTTTTCACAAGTTACTTTTTAAACATAAATTGAATGAATTCAATACTAAAATACATAACTCACTTAGGATATAAATGGATCTGTGTATTAAATTGGACTTAGTGAACTTTTCTCCTAGATAACCCTATAGAATAATGTCTATGAAGATTCTCAGTCATCCAGGTCATGGTTATCCCAAAGGTGCTTTTTTCTTCAGAGTTTAAGAAGCTTCTTGGATGAGAAGCAAAACATCTTCAAAGAAAAACCAAAAAGTCCAGTTGCCTTTTGAAAAAGCACCTATGGGACTATAGAAAAACAGCATTCCAGGTCTCCTGTATTTAATTAAATTAGTTATTATAGGTGGTTCTTTTTTATGATCACTCATTGAGAGATGTTCAAACTTACAATGGCACCAAACAAGTTGTAGGTAAGACCCAACCTTGTATTTATGGGCAGGACAATATTCCATCATCACATAATAACAATTTGTGATGTTCTCTGCCAACATCCCACAAGCAAAGACAATGGGGAAGTCAGCAGGAGGTCAAAAGTCATATCCTATTTGATTCCTGGAGAGGAAATGGCAGACTAAAGACATCTTGGTTAAAAACAGTGAGCAACCTTAGCAGAATAAAGAGATGGGTAATAAATAGTCTGGCTCTTCAGTAACTCCTCTCTGGAAAAGGAGAGCACTTGAGATCATCCACAACTGTTCTACACAGGGAGAGTGTACAACAGCAGTCTTTGTGAGTTTAGAGTTCTGGGAGATGAGAGAATCTTGCTCATAATATGCTTATAGTTTTTAAAAGAACATTAGGTTTTCATACTTCCTTTTTTAATCAAATTCAAAAATTGCTCCTTAGCTGCTTTTTAGCTATTAGGAACTTATGGATAGACAGAGTTTTATAGGTGAATTTCCTTCAATCCTTAGTAAAATAAGTTGTAAATACAAGTTTAAGGACTTAACATTTTTTAAATAAATATTTTAAAAGTGATTAAATCTTTGGTTTTTCAAAAGTCACTAATGCATTAAAAGTCCAGATCAATTTGAAATAAAATTTTGGAATTAATTACAGAAAATCTTTCATATGAGGAAATGTTTTGGTTTTGAATTTTATTTTAAAAAAGGTAATAATATAAGACTTTAAAATTGAACACTAGAGGAAACTAGAGGGAAGTAAGATTATAATTAATGGAGAAAGACACTCAAACACAATTTCAGAATGAGGCAAAATAATTTAACATTAAAAGTACTGAAGTATATTTCTGAACAGTAGACTCAGAAGTTAATTTTAAGAGTGCCTGTCTCCACAGATCAACTGTGTTTAAACATAGATTGTGTTATGGAAAAGGAACAAATTTTACTTGACAAATTAGGACAAATTTGAAAGTAGATTTACAAATGATAAGCTACAAGAATGACATAGAAAATGGTATTATTTATTGGACATACAAAAGGAAGTGGCTGCTGCCTTAATTAAAAGGGGTATAAAAATAATAAATCAAGAGAGTGACTTGGATAATTTTCCTATATTGGATTTTAAAAGGGGACTTGTAAATAATTTTGTGTGAAGGACAAGCAAAAAAATTAAAAGAAATCAATTTCAAAGATTGTTTTAAAAGTTCAATATTGTTTTTAAAGAAAAGGAAGAAATATAAAGTTAGTTTATTTGATCAAGGTTAAACATACATATGATTTGTAATCTTTAATGGACAAAATTTATTATTGTAAGTTGTTGTAAAGTGATCGAGTCCTCTATTTTTCTTAACCTCTAATACATCAAGTATTAGGGGTCAAGTTATTTACCAAAGCATCTGAAGGCAGATAAAGAATAATGGATGGAAATTGAACAAGGAGAGATTCAACCTGGAAATAAGGAGAATTTTTTTTCTTTTTTAATAATACTCTTTATTGAACATATTTTCACAATTAAAAACACATTTCCATTTATTACAGTGTCTTTGTAATGGTGTTCACTCACATTGACGTATTTCTAAATGTGTAGGTTATTACTAAGTATAATTACAGTTATTCCTACATTCAGTTTAATATACTCATATATACATTCACATAGTTATTAATGTAATTATTTACATCATTATATATTACCATAGCTCCTACCTTTCTTCCATCTGTCTACTTTCCATTTACCTTCTAACCAGTTATACCATAGGTTCCAGATTGCATGGTACTGTTTCCTCTCTCTCTTTCAATTCCATTGATAACCTATCCATCACTTCACACCCTAAAACCTTTTTTATTATCATGGTGTCAGAAGGATTATTATCATATTTCCAGTTCTGGGCAAAGGCAATCCTTGCCACAGTTATTATATGGAGTATGATATATTAGATTTTTTTGCTAATTTTATATCTTAATATATCCAATAAAAATATATCTGGTTTCAATTCAATTTTATGTTTTGTAATGTCTTCTTTTAATTTTGAGCCAATATTTCTTAGCTTT